GTTGATACTAAATATTAAAATATAAAAAGTTATTTTGTCATAATTATCTAACCATATTTAAAATGCAACTAATAATAAAATTTCAGCTAGGGCCAAGGCCCTACCCACATTATAAGTGGATCCACCATTGGCTGTGAGGGTGCTATATTGACATTTTTTTAATTATCCTCGGAGAAATATATGGAAATTAATATTTTTGTGACACTCCGACATTCAATTAAGTGATTATTCTTCAAATAGGTTTAAATGTTAAGGAAATAATCGTATACATCTCATGGATGCACTTAGGAGGTGTTTGGTTCAAGTTTTCTTAGAGGATGCCTAGGCATTATATATTAAGATTTTGTGTGATCCATGTTTGGTTCAAATTTTTTAAGAATATTAGTAGCAAATCAACTTGCCTAGACTTTTAGAATTGTTTGAAAAAAATGATCTAATGCACTATGCCAAAATGTCATTTTGGAGATAGTATTGCAAGATGCGTGGCTAAATGGAGAAGTGTGAAACAAAAGCATGACAAAAATACTCTCCTATAATTTGGAGGAGAGATAATTAAAAAGGAGTTAATTTAGTAATCTTACCTTATTTCTCCATCAATATTTTACCTTAAATCAAATATATACTTATAAAATTATACCTAATTTTTCTATTAAATTTTTTGCCAACCAAACAAATTTTTTTAATTTTTTTACCAAACTTCTTTTTTCCCCATATCTCTAGTAATTATATTTTTTTAATAAAAAAAAAAATTTTATCTACCAAACGTGCTTATATTATTTATAATGTACAAGAAATCAGCTGGCTTGAGTGAACATATTTCAGAACTTTTGTGGGCTTTGGTCTCCTATTGGCTTCTTTGGTGATGACGCTGATGCTCATGCCATCATTGCAATTTGCAATGCCTATTTGTGGACTGTGGCGACCTTTTTATTCAAGATGCATTTATATCCTTCGAGCAGTCTTGTCATTGGCTAGTCACTAAGTCGGAAGAATGACTATTTTGTCATTGTTCATTATAATATTTACCAGAATGTCATGTGTACACTAAAAATTCTCAAAATATCACGCGGGCTAATTCGCTACACAGTGTAGTGAATTATGTCTGCTAATGTGTCACCTCTCTAGTGGTCCACGTATTTCGTTACACAGTGTAGCGAAATATGTGGTCAAATGGTCAGACTGCACAATCATCATGTTGGACACGTGTCACATTCCTATTGGATACATAATTCGTTACTCTGTGTAGTTAATTATGTGTCAGAGGGGTCAGTTCATGTCCACTCAAAGTCAGGTCACGTGTCAAAGCCCCACATAATTCGTTGTACTATGTAGCGAATTATGTGGCCATATTTGCAATGACTCATAGCGAAATATAAACGTATCTAACCCATCAGAGCCAAGTGGCATATCCCCTGTAATTCGCTATTTTACGCATGATTGGTTAAGTCTAAATAATTTAATTTTTATATCAATGGGGGGTAGCAAATTAATGTTCATAATTCGCTAGGGGCATTGCGAATTATGAACATTATTAATTTGCTACCCCCCATTGATATAAAAATTAAATTATTTAGACCTAACCTTTTATGCGTTAATATAAATTCACATGATTACCAAACTAAGGTTTCAAATATTAAAATTAAAAAATATTTATAAATTATTAACATTTAAAAATTAATTAAAAAATTTAAGTATGCAGACCTAACCATTCATTTATGCGTAAAATAAATTAACATATTTATTAACCTAATGGCTCAAATACCAACATTAAATAATATTAACACATTTTACTAGCCTAAGGTTTCAAAACCCTAAACCGTAAATAACATTAAAAACGTATTAAAGCATAAATAATAAATAAACAAATTATACCTAAGCATTCTAGCGTGAATAATATTAACACATTTTACTAGCCTAAGGTTTCAAAAAAAAAAATTCAAATAACATAAAAAATGTATTAAAGCATAAATAATAAATTAAATAAATTATATCTAACAATTTATGCATGAAATAAAATTATCGCATTTACTAATCAAAGATTTCAAATATCAACATTAAATAATATATCATATTTACTAACCTAATATTTCAATAAGCAATATAAAAGAATATAACACATTTATAAAAGCATAAATAATAAAACAAATATATTATAAAAGCAAAAAAAAAAAGCCTAACCTTGTAGAGTGAGAAACCACTTAGAGAGAGAGGAAGTGAGGTAGAAATGGTGGGGTGAGGGGTGGGGACCGTGGGGCTTAAATAGAAAACCGAATGCACATAATTCGCTACCTTGTGTAGCGAATTTGTGCATGGTTGACACGTGTCCTACATGCGCAGTGTAGCAGGTTACCGTTGCTACATATTTTGCTACACAGTGTAGCAAAATATTGGTGGCTTGACACGTGTCCAACATGGTGACTGTGCAGTCTGACCATTTGACCACGTATTTCGCTATATTGTGTAGCGAAATACGTGGACCACTGGGGATGTGACACATCAACATGCATAATTCGCTACACTGTGTAGCGAATTAGCCCGCGTGACATTTTGAGAATTTTTATTGTGCGCGTGACATTCTGGTAAATATTATGATGAACAGTGACCATTTTGGTCACTGTTCCCACTAAGTCGACCTAGCACAACTTTCATATCTCAACTATTCTTTGACATTTGGAATTGCTTTATTTATAGAGATTTATTATTCTTATGTTACGTAAGAAATAATTTATTTTCTACACATATAAACTCAAGATAGATTTCATCCTACTTTTTCTCTGAAGGTGGATTCCACTTACATAAATGAATCTGTAGGAGATAATAGTTATCTCCTATTACATGAGAAAACTATTATATTTAATTAAAAGTAATAACGAACGCAGTTAATATTGAGATTTTAAACAAAATTATAAAAATACAAAATATAAAATTAAGACATAAACAAATCATAAAAATGTAAAATTATTTGGAATGTTGATAAAATCGCTTTAATGGAAAAAAATTGTAAAACGTAAAATTATAATAATAAATTAAGATTTTAACTACTATATTTTGCAATTCGTCAATCCACTAAAACGGGATAAGTTGGGTTATATATTTTGACTCGCTAACCCAACACGATGTGTCACGTATGTAGTGAGCTAAAGCGAATTACGGGGCTGGTTAACCCGCATGTTGGTATTTATTTTTTCAATTAAATTTATCATTTACATGTGTATCACATTACTTCTTCACTAATATATTCATGACTTTAATGTCATATACATTAAATCGACACATTTGACTTTTATATGTTTTAGTTTTATTGCAAAATATTTCATTAAAGTAATTTTATAATAATAATATTTGTATAAATTTACACACACATATATATATTTCTCATTTAATTTCACAAATCATGAGATAACACGAGGATTCGAATATAATTTGTAATATTAAAATGAAACATTGGAAAAGTAATTTTTTATTTTATTTTTGTAGATGAGTTGAAAACAAAATTGGTTAATATTTTTAACCCACTCATCAATGATGAATCAACCCGCTTGACTCCATTTTTTGTATATTAGAGTCAAGACGGGTTGATACATTTTACAAGCTCTACCTAGACCCGTATAGATTGGACATTTCATATTGTGGGCCTCTAATATTTGACTTGAAACAAAGATAATTTATAAATCAACATGAACATGTTCACAAATATAAATTAACAGCACATTTGAATATTCAAAATGTTATACCAAATAATGTGAAAATATATTATTTTTAAACCCGTTTGACCTAAAAAACTTGCTTGGCTTAATAAATCTAGAAAACCCAATTTTACTCCCACTTCTAAAACACATGTGAGATTATACCAAACATTTTGAAAAGATATTATTTTTAATTAAAAATAAAGGAGAATAGGCTCTCATGTTGCAAGAATTATAAGATTTCATGCAAATTATGTATTCCGAAAAGTACATAATTATAATATTAATTTTTTTCATATCACTCATAACTATGTAATCTGAGGAGTACATAGTTATGATATTAATTTTTTTTTATATTATAAATATGTACTCTCCGGAATATATAATTTACGGGAAAACTTTAAATTCTTGTAACATAAGAAAAAAGGGAACTAAAAATATTGATATATTAGAGACATGCTATTAAAAAATTGTTAAAACAAATACACCTTATATTATTTTATTTTATTTTAGGGGTGTCATTATCTATTTGAATGAGATTAATTTTTCCCTTCGTGATATATAGTGTGAAGATTTTTGCATCTAATTTCAAGATGTTTTCCCTAAAAATTGAACGAGTAACATTTGACTAATCACCTTATATTATTTTTATACCCCCCTTTATATCATTTTTTAATCAGACAAATATTTCTATAATTAGTGCCTAAATATTTATCCACCACATATTATCCATTCTAACTTTTGAAATAAATTCTGGGACCCATTCCTTATTTTGTGAGAGTAGCGGGCAATCATTTTATACTCTAAGTGTATAAAATTAAACTGAGAAAAAATATACTTACTACCAAAAAAGTTTACAACTTTTACAACTAATCTAATCATTATTGATTTCCGTCAATCTAACTGTTATAATTTATTAAAAATTATTAGGTCATATTTATTAATTAATTATTAATTTTCAATAAATTATAACCGTTAAATTGATAAAAATTAACAGTGATTAAATTGGTTATAAATGTGATAAAAAAATTTGGTTGTAAGTATATCGTGTCCTTTTTTTAATATAAAGAAAACAATGTTCTTAATTCTTACTTTGCTTACAAATAATAATATATTAAAGGGAAAAACTATCTTATGGAACATAAGAGTAGTTTTATCTCCAATAAATTCATCAAAAAATATGATACTCTTTTTTCTTTTTATAATAGCAAGCCCCAACACATATATGCCTACAACATCAAATTAAATGAACTCTATATTAAATGCCATAAACAAATTGTAATTCAAATAATAATAATAATAGAATTAAAAAAAGAAAAGAAAAAAGATTGAGGTTAATTACTAATTATTAGTTATAGTTACCCTCATCGGTAAGAGAAATAGTGCGTGCTGATTTGGTGTGTGTCTGTCTCCGTCTAACGTTGTTGTGGATTGGATTGGAGAGGGATGATAGTGAACTGTGTTAGAGTCACAGCCATGGCCATGGCTGTTCCTTCATTGAGATTGAGACCCATATGCTGCTGCACTTCTTCAACCATCAACACAGACCATCTTCGTTCTCAACTCGATCACCTTCATGCTGAGGCTCACACCACCAGAACCAAGGGTACCCTTATCACCTTCATGCTCTATCCTCTTATTTCTTATAACTCACAAAACATGAGTTTCTGTTCACTCTTAGTTTTTCTCTCTCTTTGAATCAGTCAATGTTTCCCGGAAAATACCCGTTACATTCAGCCCCATGAATTATGTAAAAAGGCTTGATTTTTATAAAGGTTTCTTAAAGATTTGCTTTTGATGACGACTATGTTGCTTTATACCTTTACTCATTCACGGGTCAAAAAGATAATACACGGCACTTTTTTTTTTTTTTTTTTTTTGACATTTAATATAATCCAATTAGTCCTTATTAGTCACTAAATGCCATTGGGGTAAACCTGTTAGTTGATACTTGCTATTCAAATAAATGAACTCTTTTCTTGCTAATTTATCTCCTGATAGAACTCTTTACCAGTATGCCTCTCAAGATTATATGGTTAGAATTACACACATTGTTATAGCCTTAACCTTTTTGTCATTTTTATGTTAATTTGAAATTATATCAATTCATCAGGAGAAAAAAACAATGAAAAGATAATATTACATGGATTCTGATTTTTTTGATTTTCAGATATTTTACCTTTGCTAGAAACCTAGTTAGAGAGAAAAGGCTCAGTTGTTGACCTTTGCTAGAGAGCGAGCGAGTGGAAAAATTAAGACAAAATAAAGTCATTGTATTGATATAAAAACTTTTATGTGGTGGTTGACACAGCAAATAATGCTAGATTGAGGCTTCTGCGATTGTCAGAGGCTGCAGAGAAGCTTCAAAAACAAGCAGCTATAAGCATTCAGAAGGGGGAGGAAAATGATGGAAGGGAAATGCTTTTTCAGAGGAAGAAGGTGTTGCAGGCTTTGGAGAAATCCAAAAGCCGCATTGAATTGCTTGATAAGCTTTCCACAAAGCTAAGTGAGGTAAAGTAATTCATCAGAGAGGATCATGTTCACAATTACGCATTTCGTTGTCAATATGACATCATCATAATCATAAATATCAATATGCTGAGGGAGAACAGCTTGTTAGCTAAGTTATGAATTGTTCATTTTATCAGCATATAAGATTCTTAACCTAATGCTTGGCCTGAATGTCTGAGGGAGAGATTTATTTTAAGTGTTTGTGAAAATGTTGTGACCTGGTTACATGTATAGCCATGGGCACCTGCAGAAGGGACTGTATATCCCTCTCATGCACATGTTTTCTTCTGTCTGCATTTTTCTATTCACCACTTTCTTTGCTTATTTGAGGAGGATTCCCAATTCTCATCTCATTTATAAAAATGTATTAGCTATGGAAAATAAGACAAATTACAATTTTTTATTTCTCAATAAAAGGACAAAAACATTTTTCATATTAACAAGTTGCACTTAGAAAAAAATCCTTTGTTCACCCTTTAAAATTTTGTTTTTTGAACTGATTGTATCTCTATAGAACCATTTGTAGTCATAGAATAGCAACCAAATGATCCTAAACAGAGCTGTATTTTTTTTTATAGAAAGTGATGATGAATGATAAGTGGGTTCCTTCACTTCCTTGTTTGTGCTGAGCCTCATTTCCAGCTATCCTGTCAAATACAGTATATACTATGTGTATGCACCTGATGAAATCATTTATGTATTAGTCTCTAGGAAGACATAGTTGATGGATGAGGTATCATTAACTTCAGTATTGCGAAAAACCTAACGGTTTTTGCATTTACCTGTCACAAATTATTTGAAAGACATAAATTTTCCTTGGTTTTGCTTGGTCTGAAAATGGAGTTGCCTAGACAAACACCAATAAAATGTTTGTGTAGGCTTTAGATAATTATGGTTTGTACAATGACATTTATTAATTAGCTCAAAATACATAAAAACATACACTGCTTGCATTAGATAGTTGGGTTTTGCTAGAAAACCCATGTAAGACATTAAATTATGTACTAGGATTTCAGATATCCCCATTCTGGAATTAAGCTTTTTAGACTTATGTAACTTGTAGTTGTAGTTCTAGAGGTATAAGCTGTAATTATGTAGGCCACATTGCCATATATAAACTTTATGCAAGATAAATTCAGAAAAAGAATTGCTTACCTGTAATTATGGTGTAACTTTTTCTATCGTAAATCTGTATTTGGGTATTTTCCACTGCCTGATGGTCATAACTATGCCTGTCGATCCAGATTGTTAGCCTTGAATATCTCTTTTTTTTTTTAATTGTTTATTTGGTTTGCATCTATGTATAATTTTCATTCTCATGTGTGTTCTTTTATGCTACTGTTTTATTTTCCTTGAAGTATTAATATGTTATTAACTGCATTATAAAAAGAAACCTATTGTGGTTTCAGGCAATATCTTTGAAAGAAAGTCAGCTAATTGGAAATGTCACTACGAACATTGAAGACACAACAGAAGATGCTTCAAGTCCAGTTCGAATCATTGCTCCAAAGGAGGAAGTTCAAAAAGATTTTACCAAGGATGACTCGAATCCCAATATGAAATTCAGTGATATTCAAGACGTGCAACTTTCTACGGAAAGTGAAGGGAATCCACTGGATGACATGGAGACTGAGAATCTTAGGCGATCCCTTAGCATAGGCAGTTGGAATGAAGACAATATAGGCAGAAACTTGTCCTCAGGAATATCCTCTTATGAGGATTTCATGGAGCATATAGATCAAAAGCTCAGTGAAATTGAAGCTGAACTAATAACTGTTTTGAATGTCTCAAGCTTTGTACTCGATGGTGAAGAGAGACCAAAGAATTCCCGGTTGCAACAAATGATGGAACTCCTTGAGAGCATCCATGGCATTAGACAGAGGTACTACTATTAAATCTAACAAAGCATAATTCTTATTGTCTCCTTTGAAGATTTAGATATGAAAATCAATTTTTATTAGGTGCTTTCTAATGGTTTTAAATTATTGTCAAGAATGTTCATATGAAGAGAGAGAGAGAGAGAGAGAAAGAAAAAAAAGTAATGTAAGACTTTTCAAAATTTCCAAACTCACAGAATCAGAAGTACCGAGGAGGCAAATTGGAGGGGCTGATCAATTTTGTTTTGTTCAACTGATCTTCTGCTGCCAGGTGAGAACAAACTTCATTTGTAAGAAAAAACTTCCACAATTTTCTTGTAGCCCTTAATTACTTAATGTGGGAACAGGAAAGACACATTTGAGATGCTTAGTGAAGTTGCTTGTCCATGTCTTTAATTTGCATTGCAGGGTTTTCTGTCTTTATTCTGTCTCATAAATGAACGTGCTAGTTTAGTATTTGGAGGTAGACTCCCTCAGAAGGACCTTTCTGTGAAAGGTGATGTAGCATCCTTAGAATTAGCCTGCACTTTACCACCCAAAGGTCTTGATTATTGTCATGAGGAATTAGTATCTTCACTCATACATCTACTTTGTTTCAGGCAGGCTAAAAGGTGTGGCTTTTTTGGAGTTCAGAATTATTGCTTCTATGATTCACATATTTTATAAATTTTCTCTTTGCAATACCGTAAATTTCAATGGTGTTCGAGTCTACACAATCAATGTATACTGCCCGTGAAGATTTGGCATTCTTGCTACCCATGATATCGGGAGTTTCTGCAACTACGGCGGATGAAATTCTATTATATGGTATTGTTGCTATTATTTTAGTTGTTCATTTTCAAATTCCATTATGGTGATGTATGGTGCAATCCTAAATTTGCATACCCTAATTGAAATTGTCACTACAATATTTGAAACTAGTTGTTTAATACTTGTTACCAAAACTTTGTTATCGCATAAGTATATCAGTAAACTGTAATAAATATTGTGAACTAACATTTATTGGTAAAGTTACTTGTGCAAATTCATGTCATGTGAATATTTATTAATATAGAGATAGACACAAAATTTTCATATCATCGATCATGTCAAATTTTTAACATGAAAGAATTCATTCATGGCAAATTAACTTTCTCACAAACCCAGAGCCTCCAGGATGTTGCACTCATAATATGTGAACATGAATTATTTTTCCATTTTTCTGTGAGTCTTTGTGATACCTTCATCGATGCAAGAAACATTTCTCAAAATTTTATTCATAACAGAGTACCATAAAAATCCAAATTTTGTGTTCTTTTCACATTTAGGACGTAACATCAGCAAACCAACAGAACTAGCACCAACAATAATAATTAATGGACAGCCGTGACATGAGGCCTTTCAGTTTTCAAGTATTAGTGCAAATAAGGGCTAATATTTCTATTCATTGAATATCCACATTCCATGTGAATGGGCAAAAGGTAATAAAGGATGAGCTAATAGTAAGACTGCAAACATGGGACACTCCCCAAACTCCACAATAGTTGTAGTCTCATGCATTGATCCGCCCTCTTAGAAGAGATGTTTGACTTAGATAGTATCCATGAGGTCAGCAAGAGTAATCTTTCCATACATGCCACATTCCAAGGAATCAAATTGCTTGCTTATTTGTATAATGTCTATCTCAGTTATCTTCCCCATTTGCTTAAGCTTGTATATAACAAATTCAGATTTACTGCACCAATAAAGATTAAAAGGTTAAAAAAAATAAAGCTAACATAATCTATTTTCTAGGGAAAATTGGCATAGTGCACTTCAAAAATTTAAGGTTATCACGATCTATTTTCTTATGCTGGAGAGAAAGTGTGTCTTCTATACAATGGTCTATTTAAGGCTAAGATGTGAATGAGGAATACAACTCAGTATTCTACATTGAACTGAAATTTTTTTGCGTCTAGGTTTGGAGTTGCGGTAAGGTTGCTTCTTATGATTGGAAGGTCAAGAGTTCGAATCTAGGAAATAGTCTCTTTGCAAAAATGCAAGAGTAAGGCTGCATACAATCGACCATTGTTCCAATATACTAATACTATATGAGATTACCAACATTCATTACCTGATTGAACCATCGTTATCAAGGTCTGCAGCTACTAAATCTGATAAGGTTATCTTCTTGTGTAGAATCCATTTTGCCACCTGACGGTTTCTCTTGTGCATGCTATAATCAGTGAGGTATAAAAAGGCCCGTGTAACTGCCAACGGGCTTACCAAAAGCCATATAATAGCAAAACATCTGCCGGTTACAGTTTTGAAAGAATAATCCCCATAACCAACTGTTGTAACAGAGGTAATGGAGAGATAAAAGCTGTCATCCCAGTTCAGATCCTCAACAAAATGCACCGTAAATGTTCCTATAGCAATGCAACCAATGACAACAACCAATGCCAGACAAACTTTGGTTCTTATCCTCATTCTCCCTTTCTCTTCATCAACCATATACGTACTCAGAATTTTCTTATATCGATTCTCATCCATCATATTCAATAAGAATGCCTCTTGTGTGTCACAAATGTATGCAACTAACCCATTGAGCAGAAAACCAATAAATCCAAACCCCACTAAAATGAGACCACATGTAAAGATCTTGGTAAATGTGGTGTCTGGAACAATATCTCCATACCCAATTGTGCAGAGAGTTACCATTGTAAAGTAAGCAGCATCTACAGGCATGAATGTGGTAGTGCCCTTGAAACTTCCACTTCCACTACTCATATACACTATAACCCCAGTTGCCACATACAAGAAAACACCAATGAATGATAGCCTAACTATTAAAGTTGATGACGACTTACGTGAAGGTTTGGGTTCAGAGGGCTCATGAAAATCTACCCGAGTGTCAGTGAATAATACAGATGGAGCAGAGCGAGAGCGATGATTAATCTTCCCTTTCCTGATGCTCAAGTTGGCTATGAGGTTAATATAAGGAGGAGGATTCTTGGCTTCATTGATGATATGAGGTGAACTAGATTGGCCTAGTGATGAAGCAAGAACATGATCATCATGGACAGATTGTTCCTTGGGTGATGACGTTCTTGGTGATTCTGCTGCTTCTTTCCTGGAGAAAAGACTCAGAAGGGGCTCCTGCATGGTGCATTTAGCTGTTAGTTGGAGACTGATGCTAGCAAGCTACTATCACAACTTCAATATTCAACTGCCAGTCAAACCAGACGAAAGGTGGGTTGCTAATTGCCGCCAAATGATCGCAACTCTCAATCAACTGAGAGCTCATGCATTGGTTTATTTCTTATTATGTACTAATATAATATATAGATTCCATTTTTATGCAAAGATTTATCTGCCATAGATGGTAAATATGTATATGTTGCAGACAAAGTATTTCTACTGCGGAGGCAGAAATACTTTTGCCATAATATATATTAACAAAATTTGATTTTCATGTTTTTTTCCCTGATAAGGAGAAAATTATACTCAGTGGAAGTTTTAAATTTAAATTTAATGACTACTAATATCAAAGTGTACCCCTGAATTTCATATGGCTACATTACGTGGAACAAGAACCCCTTGGGAAATATCATGGTCTATAAGTTATAGAGGATAAGGTAAGTTTACTACATCTGCTCTTCCTTGGTGATATTGTAATGCAGTAGATGGTCGATTAAGACTTTGAAGGGCAACGGTAACTCATGAAATACCATGTTGTCGTTTCTTCTTTTCTTTTCTTTTTTTTTAGGATTGCCTAGAATTGTTCCTTCAATAATACAAATATTAATTGATATTACCAAACAAAAAGGGGCATTATAGATTCATTCGTTCTCATGTTCATCTAATCAATGAAAAATTATATCTCAAACAGATTTCAAGAGACGAATCATTTCTCAGATAGACCTCGGAAAATTTAATTTTAACTAGTAAGTAGTAACCGGCGTCACCTAATAGGCTAATAACAGAGATACAGAATGATGATATTATCCGCGAAAGTCTTAACATGTAGAACCATACAACAGCACTACAAATATCTATAGACTGAACAACTTTGACAGCCTGAAACGATGATATGCACCATTTGGTGGCCTAACTGCTGCAGTTTGAGGAACGTCCTTGTTAGGCACCGTTTTTCGTACTTGCGCATGAGTTTCTGCTTCGTGTTGAAACATCCTGACCAGCTCTTGAAGCTCTAATTTTCTCACTGCAACATTTTCTTCAATAATAGGTTTTTTCAGCCCAAGATAAACCAATCCAATTCCAATTAGCACTGCTCCTAACACACAGAGCATCACAGAGAATAGAAGAAACGCATAAGGAGCTCCTTCAGATCCGGGTATTCCATCCACATTTATGCCAAATAGTCCAGTGATGATGGAGAGAATAAGGCCACAACCCCCAAACACTCCTAAGTTATGTGAAACCGTGAGGCTTCTGTCCTAAAATAAATAGAAAGGAGTGTGAGGCCATGCAAAGATCAACACATCTGAAGTGACATCACATCCACAGAACAGAATGCACGTGTATGTGATCTCCAGTGTCACATTATTCTTCTATGGTTCAATCATGACTGGCAAGCATAACATATACCTGTATTAAAATATTATGACAAAACTGGACTCAAATCTTTTGTTTCCTCTCCTTGTTCTTAATCTTGTCCCCCAATAAAATACTGTCAACTAAGCAAAATATTACATCTCTGTTTTGAATTTGTCCCCTCCTCTCTATCTTAGTTGGCAGTATTTTATTAGGGGAGATGAAGAAGGGATAAAAGGATTTTAATTTGACCAAGCTTGGGCTTGGTTGGTGTCTTTTGGTGTCACAAAGATCTAAACCTTAACCTTAAAAATAGGAAGTTATGGTTAGAGGGTGATTAATTGACATTACAAACTCCCTGTTCTCTCTCTATATTCTAGATAGAATAAATATCAAATGAATAATTGGATTGACACGCACATGAATATACAAGTATACACTCACACACACACACTTCTATTGTAATACTGTAAAGTTTTAGTTTGCATTTTGAATGCTACAGTTGTAATAAAGCCAACTAAGTAAATATATTGCAAGTACTATTTTTAAACTTTATTTTTTTGAATAAATCTGTATTTTAGTCCTCCAAAGATACAGAGGCCAATCCAAGTGAACTACCATTTTTCCCTTGTTGGGGAAAAAATTAAAATAAATCAGGTACCAGAAAGAGTTGCACACTTATACTAGCAACTGTGTGAAACTTAGGTATATATATAAATGAATTTAATAAAGCACTTGTGGCTTACTAGTATAAAGATTATAGTTCAATAGTTGGTAAAGATTACAAAAACCTGCAACCATGCACGGACTGCACTTTGCATGACATCTTGGATTGTGAATAAGCGACCTCGAACTGCTTCTTGCTCCTCAATCATTTCTCTTGTACTCTTTATTACTCCTTGCAGCAATGCTTTTGTTGCATTTCCTCTCAATTGTTGAAGAAGTTCAAAAACAATTTCTTGTCGTGCATGGAGTGACCATTTCACTCTTATAACCTGTTAGGTCATAGAAAAGGTAAAGATGTAAAGGGACAACCTGGTCCTACCAAGCTCCTGCTCTACGCAGGGTCTAGGGAAGGATCAGACCCATTGTGTGGGTATAAAATAGGTAGCAGTACCTTGCATTAGCAAGAGACTGTTTACATGGTTCGAATTGTGACCTCCAGGTCACATGGAGACAACCCTAATAGTTGTGCTAAGGCTCTCCATAAAAGGGGCAAACCTTGATGCACAAGACTCTCCAACTTGCATGGGTGGGGATGAAGGTCGATTGTATGCAATCTTACCCTTGCTTTTTTCCATACTCGAACCCGTGACCTTCCGGTCACGGAAAGTAATCTTACCGCTGCTCTAAGGCTCTCAATAAAAGAGATAAAAGTACAACTATAAAATTTGTATGTACACAATCTACATAATTACTTATGAACCAACCAAAAATTAGATTATTACTTATATAATAGTAGACGATTTAAAATGCCTATAGAAGTCCGATCATTCAAATTTTGTGATATGTAAAGTTTTACTCTTTACAACATTTCTTATTTATTTAACAAGGTACATATATTGTGACAAGAGAAGTAATAAAATTTTAAAACAAACCATTTATTTCCCATACATTATAGTAACTCCTTTCTTCAAATTAAAAGAAAGAAAAGCATATTGAAAAGACACCAACATTTTTTACTTACATAGTCAAGCATTATGAAGTAACAGACAATCCAGCCTTAAAACTTCAAACAATACTTAGTCATTAACTGCTAAATCAATTGCTCAGATGTACACTTCTACTATACATGGATTAACCCACCCACCCCCAGTTTAGCTGTTTTAATAAAATCAGTGTCACGGAAGCAACCACACTTAAAACATCTGAGATCTTCATGATATGGCTCAATGCTTCCAAAGATTTTCAAATTGCATGATGGTTACATTAAATATCTATAATGCCCCCTGCTATTCATAACCATTCTCTTCTTTTCTTTCATCTATTTTCTGGCACTTCATGCTACAAACAATTTAATGGAGGAAGAAAAAGCTTCAGGTACTCTTATTGCAACTTATTCAAATCATTTCTTGTAGGCTCAGAAAAGGGAGTAAAATAAACACGGCAGGGGGCAGTAGAATAATTTCTCAATTCTCAACACAACAATATGAGCTAAGCACTCAAAAGTATAATAACCATCACTAGTAGTTGTGGATTTAATTTTGAAGAATAATTAGAAGTAAAAGAAATAAAGTCACTTTTGGTGAAAGAGGAGTTAAAATGACAGTTAAGTGGTAAAAATGCGGGTAAACAAAGTTATCCAAAAAGTGAAAGTAAATATAGAAAAGTGACTAGAAAAATATTCTAGTCTTTTGGGTGAAGTTTGGTAATAAATGGAGGTGCATAGATAGATAAGCTTATACCCACTAGTAAAATAAACTCACTTGAGTGAGTAGTGAGTCACTGTTTCCCCATTCTTCTTCGTCGTCGGACAGAGAGCAAAATGAGAGAAATGGAGGTTTTGAATAAAAACCTTCCAAAATTCGTAGAAGAGAGCTAGAGACCTCCAAATCACTCCGTTCCAAAGCCAAACTTGTGAGAAATTTCGAGAGGAATCCATTGGTACCAGTATTTCTGGGTGGGTTTCACTGTAGAGAGAGATCTTCATCATCTAAGATTTCGAATTTCATGGATAATGGTGATTTTGATGGAGCTTGAGGCCATGGGAGCTTAGATACTCATATCTCCTTTGTTTTAGAGTGCATTGTGGTAAGAAATTTCCTTCCTTTTCATGTTTTTATGAAGATTGAATTTATGGTTTCATTTTGAAAATTTGGTTTGATTGAGCATGTTAGAGCTTGATTCAAGTTTAGCTCATGTTGAGAAAAGTGTTTAGATGAGAATTTTAACGGTGAAAATGTATCTGAAAAATTAAAGATACCATATTTTTGAATAGTGTTGTATACGTGAATAGTGACGTATACATGAATAGTATTGTAGAGATGAACGGTACCGTAGTACCGTATATATATGAATTAATGAATCTTGGATTAGAGGGGTGTGATAAGCTTGAATTTGATGGACTAAAGCATTGGAATCATGAAGTTGGCATGAATTCCTTTACGTGCCTCTTAGCCATTTACAAAGGAAGTATGTGCTATGAGTTACTGTTTTACAAATCGAGCATACTTTTATGCGTGGAATAATATTCTAAGGTGTATGGACCTTCGCTTTGGTGAAATAAAAAAGAAAATAAGGTAGCTCCTTTGTATGACCTTAAAATGAGTTTTAGCCATTTTCAAAGGAGGTATATGTTCGGAGATATTATTTCGCAAAGTGAGAACACTTATATGCGTAAAATAATTTATATAGGTGGCTAAGCTTGGGTTTAGGCACTAGGCAAAGAGAAATCTTATAGCTCCATTGTAATGGGCATTCTGCCTTAAGTTGGGACTATCCTAAGACTAAGTGAATGTTTGAAATTTTGTGGGGATTTATTGAACAAAGAACCACCCACTCATGACTTAATATGATTTAAGTAAAAAGAAAATAAACAATAAAGTGTGTGTCTTGTATATTTACATGGCATTATATCATTTTATTGAGTTTTGTGTTGAATTCCTTCTCTAGGTGTACCTACTGTGAACGTTTGGATTCTCGTGGAGCATGATAAGTAGCTTGCTCTTCAAGTAAGCAAACTGTAAAGCTCCAAGAGGTAAGCTCTATGTTTATGGGGTTCGCTCCTACTTTGTGTTCCGCCATAGTGTACGGACTGTGGTCAGGTTGTATGATATGTATGAGATATATGATATAGATGCATTCATATAGAGCTATATGATAATATGATATGTTTTGTTTTGATGTATTTGCTTTGATATGTGTTAATATGATATGTTTTGTTATGATATGACTTCTGTAATATGATTTCTGTAACAATATCTGGCCATTGATTGTATTGTACCCGGATGTTCGCTTTGGGGTCCTCCCTCGGGACTGATGGTGTACGCCTCTGATATGTTCTGGTTCCGCTTTGGGGTCCTCCCTCGGGAACACGTGCGTTGATTTCCGCTTGGGGTCCTCCCTTGGGAATGACTGCGTACGCCTCTGATATGTTCTGGTTCCGCTTTGGGGTCCTCCCTCGGGAACACGTGCGTTGATTTCCGCTTGGGGTCCTCCCTTGGGAATGACTGCGTACGCCTCTGATATGTTCTGGTTCCGCTTTGGGGTCCTCCCTCGGGAACACGTGCGTTGATTTCCGCTTGGGGTCCTCCCTTGGGAATGACTGCGTACGCCTCTGATATGTTCTGGTTCCGCTTTGGGGTCCTCCCTCGGGAACACGTGCGTTGATTTCCGCTTGGGGTCCTCCCTTGGGAATGACTGCGTACGCCTCTGATATGTTCTGGTTCCGCTTTGGGGTCCTCCCTCGGGAACACGTGCGTTGATTTCCGCTTGGGGTCCTCCCTTGGGAACACGTGCGTTGATTTCCGCTTGGGGTCCTCCCTTGGGAATATCTGCGTACGTTTCTGATAAGATATGTGTATATGTTTTGTTTAGTTATGATATTTGATTATATGACATGTTTTATGGGATATGTATGATGATTTTGTAAATGATATTTGTTACATACGTTGATTTCCACTTGGGGTCATCCCTTGGGAACGATTGCGTACGTCTCTGATATAACACGTTTTGTTCTGATGTGAGTATTGTGATGATTTTTGTAAAAGATATTTGTTACGTGCGTTGATTTTCGCTTGGGGTCATCCCTTGGGAATGACTGCGTTTGTCTTTGATAAGATATGTATATATGCTTTGTTCAGTTATTATAATTGCTTATATGATGTTTTGTATATTATGTATCTGACTGTCATGCAGGAAGTGAGCCCAGGGTATGGAGGGTTTTCCATAAACCTGGAGTTTACTAGAGATTCGTCTCTAACCCCGTTTGGGGATATGATTTCAGGAACACAGTGAATTGAAGAGCCTCATGGGACCAGGACACTAACTGTGGCTAGAGGTACTAGTATGAGGATGTGGAGTTTTGGGTGGTCGGATGCTACTATTTGTTTTAGACGTATTTTTGGAAAAGATGTATTGTTGCATAGTGTTCATATTCGATACATGTACATTTATGTATTCAGGCATGAAGATATGACTATGTAGTATTCAGTTAGGTTATGTATTGGATTGCATGCTATTAGATTTGTGGCACGGAGCCAAGTTGAGCATGCGCCCATAGATGGGTATCTGAGTATATTTGCATGACTGGTACTTCTGGAAATATATATTGTTTAAACTGTCTATCAGGAACTCTTGAGAGTGGGATTGGAAAATCCCCAGTTGTCCGATTTACAGAGGTTACTCTGTCCGATTTTCGTCTTCGTAAAATAAGAATTAAATTAGAAGAAGTATGCAATGCGATATGTCATGTGAAAAAGGATTAAAGAAAAAGAAAAAGTTAGTTCGTATTTTCGTAAGTTAAGTCTTCCGCTGTTTCTGTTAAGTATCACATGCATGTTAATTGAACCGGCTCGAGGCTGGGGATGTTACAAAAAGCATGTTGTTAATTAATACAACAATTAAGAAACACATAGCAACGGCCAAATAGAGTTTTAGCCCCTTTGAATATAAAACTCCTACGCATAATCAGCAAAAATACAATTTACAAAACTATTAAGTTTATAGCAGATTCTCTACCAATACAGTATTAGTCATTCTGCAATCTGCATAATTACCTGGCTTGATAATCTTCTTATTTCTTGGTTCAATATTATAGTGAACAGATGCAAATCCTCATGGTTCCTCCTATTAGGAAGGGAAAAAACAGAGTGTATCCAAGTTATAAATGAAAAATATAAAATGACCCACCTAAGTTGCACTTCTCATATATAATGGTCCAAAGCACATGCAATCACCTGTTCATAAACATCAATTCAACCTCATCTGCAGCCCCAAAGACGTATTTACGAAACAACCTATGATATCAAATGCATTAGTAATAAATAATAATGATGACAATGCACATTAAATAGTGATCCCAACTAAGTATGATTTTAGATCACAATAAAAAGTAAAAAAAATAAAAAAAAAAAAAATTCATAAAGATTGGATACTTCTATATAATCATCAAGAAAGCTGATTAATATTGCCTACGACAATATCACCATCAGATTTTATAAACAGGAAATTAATCAGTTCGAGAATATAATTTTAACTATGAAATAAAGATAAAGGAGGGAAAAAAGAGTTAAGGTGAAATTATGACCAAATTCAGACTAAATATATCAAATGTAAATAAAAGAAAACAGGTCCATAAATTAGTACTGGAGCTAAAGCCATGAGGCTCATTACCCAGTATGATGCCCAAAATAGCAGGATCTATGAGGGAAATTCTAACTTTCTGGAGTTCCAAGAACTAAAGTTCAGCTTTGTGATTGAATCAGTGAACACTTATGACAGAAGTAAGAAAGAAGAAAAAAAGGGGGAATTCTATCTATCTCTGCTCAATGCTTTTCTTTGTATTCTTTCCATGGCAAGTAATGGTTCTCTTAAACCTAGTTTCGCGCTCTATTCATGCCTTTTCAGAGGGCAATGTGCCTTTCAATAAAAATAACTGGCTTTCTTATTATTATTTTTTATTGGATAGAAGTAAAAAAGTTTAAGAATCTATAAATCTACAATCTACAAGACTAATTTTTGAAGTTGTACCAATATGATGAAGGCTTATAGTATTCATAATCTTCATTCTTTTCTTCCATGAAGAGCATGGAAAATTCATTAACTGACTATCATAGAGCAAGAATTTCCACTTCACATGCAACATGGTGGCTTGCATAACGCCACTTGGTAAGTTTGCTTTTAGCATATATGCACCTAACTGTCAACTAAGAAAAGGAATAGCCAACTATAAACAGCAGTTGAAACTGCAGTTGCAACACTCTCAGACAACCAAAATGAACCTAAACCATCTTTCGAATTTCACCTCTTCATACATTTCGTCTTAATGTTCTGTCCACCAGATTCCTATATGTTTCCCCTTATAAAAATCTAAAAAACACGTAGATAAAGCAGTTCCATATATTCTCCCAGATTTGACACGCATTGGTACATTCAACTATTCATTAAAAAATACTTTGTTTCTCCATTCCTTGTGTAATTCAATCATATCTAACCGTATACCTACATATATCTGCTTGCATTTGAGATAGCATCTGCATGGCAGATTTAATTTCAAGAATAGCCTTCTACATTTTACCTTAATAAAAAGTTTTGTCTAGAGCAGCACCCTTTGCTTAACAATTTATTTACTCACAGTTCAGGTGTAAATTTAATTACCCCGTTTCCAAGAGATTCAATTAATATTATTATTCAAGTAATATTATTATCATTATGTCTATCTTTTATATGAAGGTCATATATAGAAATACCAGTGGAAAAAACAAAAGTAAAATACTAATTAAATGGCAAAGAGTAAAATTAACAGCCAAACCAATGAAAAATTTCTGTGTTGGTAACAAGATATAAATAATATTAACCTATCATCCCATCGTGCAAGACGGCAAGCTAGGTGTGCTACAACCTCATGAATGCAGCGTGGTATGTTAGTACCTCCAGCAGCCAGCAGTTCCTGCATTAATTACAAAATTGTACACCTAAAAAACATTGTTGAAGACAATTAAGGATACAAATAATAAAAGAATTATGCTTCAGGCAAAATAACTGTCTGGTTTACGAGGAGGAAAAATACTAACCTGTACTTCTACAATACCTAACACATTGACGTTTGATGCAGAGCCCTTAACATGCAAAACTGTCACCAAAAAGTTTTGTGCCTGCCACGCTCGTAATACAATGGGAATGTCATCTTCCTCAGCAAATGGATCACCAGCAGACTGACCAAGAAGTTCAAATAGTAATCCACCAGCAACTCGAACAGGGACCTGCAAAAATAAAAATTAAAAGCTTATTTTGTAAATTTGAATGCTTTTGCATATCTATACATGGAATCATTGATTTCGCAGAAAGAAGTGCAGCAACCAATAAGGTAATCGGGAAGGACACAAGCAACCACAATATGTTCTCGAAGACACCTATTTGCAAAATGGTAATAGCAAATTGGAATATTCTCAATAAAAAAAAATTAGCAAATTTCACTCTCGAATAGAACTAGTTCATTTTATCATTTACCTCATATAGAAGGTGTTTCATTCGATCACTTATTAATCTACTTTCGTCTTGCAAAGCGATGCTAATAGCAGGATGTAACCAGTGAGAACTACCAAGCCATGTAGTAATAAATGGATGAGAAGCATCCAAATGACACCACCAGGTTGGCCCCACTGGCCGTTCCCAGTAAGGAGTTGCTACATCTGCAACAGGAACATCATTTTCATCATCTGTGAAATCATGTGGCCGTGAGGCCCATCCAGCATCACTATGCACTGCCTGGACAAGTTCAGAAATTCTAGCCCAACCAACTGGTCTCCAGTAACTTCTTGGAAGGCCCTCTTTGCCATAGAATTGTGGTGACTGGTAATCCTGGCAACAGTAGTGATTATCATCTAAATCATCAAGATCCCCAACTCCAGATTCAACTGGCAAAGATGCTTCATGAAAGCTGTTTCTACTAGGCTTTCTAGTTCCTAAGGATTTCTTTTGATTGCTTTGAAATCCCTTCTTCTTGTTCACCTCTCCAACTGGTGGTGCTGACTGTATCTTCCTAGATCCACGGACGAACTCAAAAGCACAAATAAGTCCATCAGTCCAAAGTTCCCCGGCATGCATGGAGGAAGAATGGATTCTCTGATGGCCCTGCTTCTTCGTTTCATTGCTAAGCGAAGCAGAATAATCCCCATCCACAGCTTGCATATCGCACTCAAGTAAAGGAACTAGAGCCTCAACTACCATTGATGAGAGAGAGTCAAATACTAATTAAAAAGCCATAATCACTGCACCATCACAAGAAAGAACGATGTACACTTGAGCATAATGATTCTATCACACACAACAAAATCTAAGAAACTAGCCAAAATCAGTATCAATCACAATGTTACCGTAACTGAACCTGTTCCACATTATTATTACTTCAATTTCAACGGAAAATACAAACGGAGAATGATCAAATTGACATGCAAGACAAATGAGTAAGTGAGTCTCAATTTTCAGCAACACATTATTTGTAATTTGGTTCGAATTTTGTTGAGCAATTAAAAATGGGAGAAGAGGAAGTCATACCAGAGGAGAAGACTAGGGTTGAGTTCGGTGAGCAAAGAATGCATTCGAGAATGGTAAAAAGGAAATGAACCGAACGCATTTAGAAGAAGAACCGCAAAGCAATTATGATTGTCCGCACGTGGTGGTGGATTTGTGAGACACCGAATGCCACTGCCGCTTGGTGCAATTCATGCAGATTTATATTTTTGAAAAAGCTTATTATAAATTAAGCTTTCCCTTTTTTAATATTTTTAATAAAATAATCAGTAGCATTTGTTTTTAATAATATTATTTCTACATTAAAATGATACTTGTATATCAAAATTTGCATACTAGCGATTTATGATTGGATAAGAATAAGACCCCTGATATTTGGATATTGCACCGTCAATCGAATTCTATTCGGAGTTAACCAGAATTTTATATGTTAAATGGTGAGAAATTAATGTAAAAATTCTGATGCACATATACTGACATTGTTTTTAGGCGAATATGAATTCCTTTGTTAATGAGTTTATGAGGGATTTTATGAGTTTGTTTATATTGATTTGATTTATCTTCTTCGCTAGCTAATCTTATTTTATGAATTCTGATGTACATATACCAACCATTATACTTCTTCACATGCTGCACACTTTTAAGCTTTGCTATTATTTATTCACTCTGCTTACTAGATTTTATTGTCATTCTTCTGACCAACATGGTGGCTTTTCTCCATGGGGTTATGAGGTTCAGTCAAGATCTTTGTTTACTCCAGGGAGCACACAGTATAGTTTCCCATTGGAACAAACAATAGCAATAAATACCATTCTTCTCATATTGCAAACATACATGCCATTCTATATTACATTCACCGGAGGGGGGGTCCCTAAAACTGAAGTATCCTTATAATTTGAGAAAGATGGTGTAGTAGGTGGCTAAGAATGGGAAGTAAAGTGTAATAATTATATGCCAATCAGATATCGGTTGGGGAAGGCAAAATTGACATGAGGCAAAGTTAGTCAGAGTTAGGCAGAGAGTAATACAAAAAACAAATATTTACTGTGGGGTTGGTATTACTTAACTCCATCCTAAAAGACAATCATTCTTTTGGGGTCCTATAAAATTTTATTGTCATAAAGCAGCTACTTAAGCTTCAATGTAGCAGAAGATAGCGATTTGCTCTTTGTTACTGCACATTTGAACATTAGCAATATCCCAAACTACCTTATGTTTGGTGAAATGGATCAAAAGCAAGAGCAAGAAGAGGGGAACACCAAAATGTCTGGCTTTGATGTTACTCTAATATCTCCCAAAGTTCCAAAAGCAGTTTCACCAGTATCTTCTGCAGCAGATGGTGAAACCTTAAGGCGACCTCGTGGCAGGCCAGCTGGCTCTAAGAACAAACCTAAGCCACCAATAATTGTGACAAGGGATAGTGCTAATGCACTCAAGGCTCATGCCATGGAAGTTAGCTCTGGCTGTGATGTGAATGAAAGTTTGTTGAACTTTGCAAGGAGAAAGCAACGTGGCCTTTGCATACTTAATGGTACTGGCTGTGTAACAAATGTAACATTGCGCCAACCAGCCTCATCTGGTGCCATTGTTACCCTTCATGGTCGATTTGAGATTCTCTCATTGCTGGGGTCAATCCTTCCTCCACCAGCACCACCAGGGATCACTGGTCTTACAATTTACTTAGCAGGTGCTCAAGGGCAAGTTGTTGGAGGTGGTGTTGTTGGTGCTTTGATTGCTTCTGGCCCTGTTGTTATCATGGCTGCATCATTCATGCATGCTACTTTTGATCGTCTTCCATTGGAAGATGATGAACTTGCTGCTGCTGTAATGCAGAATCAGCATTACCAAAATGGACGCACCCATCATCTTGATATCCCTGACTTATATGCAGTGCCACAGAACCTGCTCATGAATGCTACAATGCCCCCGGAGATATACTCCTGGGCACCCGGGAGGAACTTGTCCAAAACCTGAAACTTTAGCATACTATTTGTTACTAGTTGTCTCGCATCCACACAATACACTATAGTGTGGCTATTATGTGGCCAGGTTCTTGTACTAGAAGGGGTCTTCGAATGTTGACATTGTTGCTAAAACAACATGATATGCTTATTCTACTGTATTAATAGTTGGTTTAACAAATTAATGAGAGTTATGATTTTAAATACATTAAGATCTACTTTTCAGAGTTCAATATCGTATATGCAGTCTTTCCACTTAGAATGTCAAAGCAAAACGTGCATGCAATGAAGCTGAGATTCCTTCAGCAGGCCTATTGGTAAGTATCCACATGATAGTGCAATGAGTAAAATATAAAACATCAATTACGAGTCACCACATGTTTTCTAATTAATTACTAAGATGACTGGCATATTTCGGGAAGACATACTACAACAATAAAAGACCGGGGGGGTTGGAGCGGAAAGAGAGGAGAGAAATTTGAACTTCATGCCATGGCTATCTTTCCATTTTCATGATGTCCTTTTACTTCTGGCACTTTATTTTTCTTAATAAATCTATAAATCCCAGTAAATCTAAATGCTTTTATTTAACTGTATTGACAAGGAAATTGGATATTTGGTCGCATTATGTGATTCTCATCTATTATAACTCTTCTCTATTTTACAGCTACTTCCTCTATATATACAGATTGATTTTTAAATTTCACTAGTTCTATCATTTCAGAGATAATCAATCTTTAAGTGCAAAACTAGAGTCATTCAGTAAAGAGTAAATCTCTCGAGTTTTAGGATGTAGCCTCCCCCCAGCTAGGAACTCATGAACCTCTCCGTATAGTTCAATTGAACTGCATCCTGGTTCTTTCTCTGTCAAGCTTTCCTTCATCAAAAGCCTGTGCTCCATTGCCTCTTCAAATTGGTTGGATGCAGCCTGAACATTAGACATGAGTACATAACCACTGGCATCACTTGGATTTAACTCACAAACTCTTTGGGCAGCCCGTTTTGCAATCTGTACATTCCCTTGCTTCCTACAAGATGAGAGCAAAGATCCCCATATAATAGCATCTGGCTGTATAGGCATACCCTTTATTAGTTCTTCTGCTTCTTCCAGGAGTGCAGCTTGACCAAGCACTTCAACCATGCAAGTGTAGTGTTTTATTGATGGTTCAATCTCATACTTATTCATCATTGATGCAAAATAGTCCCTTGCTTTATCTATTGCTGCCAAATGTTTACAAGCAGTTAAAACTCCAATGAAACTTACACGGTCTGGCTTTAATTTTGAAGACTCAAGCTTAGAGAAGAACTCAATTGCCTCTCTTTCATGACCATTCATGGCTAGCCCTATAATAATGGAGTTCCAACATGATAATCCTCTTGTGGGGGATGCCTCAAACACTTCAATAGCATTTTCAATAGATCCACACTTGCAATACATGTCAATTATTGCTGTGAGAACAATGACATTCAACTCAAAATGATTCCTTTTAATATAATCATGAACCCATTCCCCATGTTGAAGTGCTCCCAAGTGAGCACAAGCATTTAACAAACTCACCATTGTAAATTCACTTGGCTCAACCCCTTCTTCTTGCATCTTGCGGAAAAGCTCTAATGCCTGCATTAGCCTCCCATTCCTAACATACCCACTAATCATAGAATTCCAAGTAATTGCAGTTCTTGTTGGCATGTTATCAAACAACCTCCTAGATTCATCAATTTCCCCACATTTAGCAAGACCCATAATCACTGAATTACAAGCCACCACATCAAGTTCCATGTGCTCATCAAACACTCTTCTAGCTTCACTCAATAGCCCACTATTAGCATACATGTATATGATAGTATTACGAATAAAGTGGTCCCTTTCAAGACCCAATTTTACAACCCTCCCATGAAGCTGAGTTCCATCATGACCAGCACCCAATTGAGCATAAGCTTTGAAAACCGAAGGGTAAGTCAACCGTTGGGGTTCAACTGCAGAATACAACATATCAACAAAGAGTGATATTGCAAATTGTGGGGTTGAGCTCCGGGAAAAGCCTCTGATAATGGTGTTCCAAGAATAAAGATTTGGGTTTGGCATTCGGGTGAACACCACGTAAGCATAGTTAATGTTACCAGATGAAGAGGCACAGAAGGTGAGGACACGGCTAGCAGCAATGGGGTCAAGAGCAAGACCAGTTTTGATGATGTGAGCATAAATCTTTTGGAAGTCTGTCATGGTGGTACAGTGTTTTTGGAGCATGGTGAGACATGGGTGATCAGAGATAAACTTGGAGATGGAGGGTGGTGTTGATGGAGAAAGTGAAGAACAAAGCGTTGACATAGCTTGTGGTCCTTGGTGAGAACAAGACATTAGAAAACATTGAAGCAGATGAGGAATCTGCAAGAGTCACGGAGTAACTGTTGATAACTGTTTATCAACAACCTATACGTAACGAGTGGTCTTCCCTTCTCTTTCCTTGGATAATGTAACAAAAACAATGAAAAACATTATTTTTTTATTATTATTATTTTTTATTTTTATTTTTTTAGTATAACAGATATCCCTATTCAACTTCTTGGGATACTTTGTCTTCAGGACCTGTAGGCTAGTCACTGAAACAGCAGCGAGGAAGGATGAGATTAATTCTCTATTTAAGGAGAAAGACATTTACTTGAGAGTTTAAACCCTTAACTTAATCAAACTCTTGAAAATTCAATTGCTAATTGAACTAGCTTGTGTTTTTATTATTATTATTATTATTATTATTTTAGTGAGATACCATTTGCATCATAAGAGCATGAGAGATGTCGTAATTCAAAAAAAAAAAAAGAGCATGAGAGATGTCTGTGAGGGCTCCGTTAAGGTTATCATTAATTCTATTCTTTCTATCCTTGACATAAATTATTATTTTTCTTTCTTGTGATTTGGGATTTTTTGATTTAAACACCTCTAATAAAGTTACAATTCTTACTACTCCGTATAAATTCCACATAATAAATTTTTTAAAATATTTATAAATGTAATGGATGATTTTTTTAAAAAATAAAAACAATTAAAATAAGTGAAAATTATAAAGAATAAGATTTTAATTTACCGTTATTTTTGTTATTTATCCAAAGCGTACAGCGCACTGCTGTCGTACTTGTCGCTAATCGGATTCACACGTGACCGCCTAACATTGTTTGACGTACATAAACACTATTTAACAAGAATGTTTATTTTTTAGAATATATTTTCCTTTATAACCTCTTATAACTAATATCTTAACCGTTGATTTCCGTCAATCAACGGTTAAGATTTATTGTGAATAATAAATCTTCCTCTTAATAATTCACAATAAATCTTAACCGTTGATTGACGGAAATCAACGGTTAAGATATTAGTTGTAAGAGATTATAAAGAAAAATAAGTTATAAGTATAATTTTTCTCTTATTTGTAATTAATTGTATCTGTATAATTTAATTGTTTGTGTTTGTGAATGAGAATATAGCAAGTAAAAATGTCACATCGCACAAATTTTATCTGTATTGGTGTTTATGGAAAATTTGTTCGTTCTCACGTTAAAATTTTATATTATCTTATGTAAAAATTTTGGTGGTTATTATCTTTAAAAAAAAAAAAAAGTCTTGTATAGCAAATTGATTAGGCCCTTGAATTTTTCTAAATTTTAAATATATGGATATTATCATAAACTGAATGTAAAAATTATATTTTTAAAAATTGAGATTCCCGACTAAAAAAAAATTCCTCCTGTACCAAACGCCCCCGTATGGTCAAATTGCATTTATCTAAACATGCCTTTCATCCTCTTATACAGTTACTATTAAGATTCATACTGATACATGAAATGCTGCTTAGACAACAATGCTACTTGTCACAAATGCATATTCTTTTTGGTGGGTGAGTTGGGGAGCCCAGAAACAGGTGTTGCCAGTTTTGAAAGATAGAGAGATACAGAAATTTCTCAAAGGAAATCCTGGGTCTTGTGATAGGTGTGAAAGATTATTTATATATGAGAATGGAACATGGCCACCAATAAATATAAATTATAATTATAGTTCTCTCTATAAATTCACTAACAATAGTATAATATATTTGGAGTAACGTTTAAGAAGTGCCTTTATTTAGAACTATAAGGGGCCCCTGATCATAATATATCTTTCTAATCCAATTGATCTAAAGTGTAGATTAGGGTGGCGGCATAGAGCTATGGAAGGTGACCTTTGGCCCATTAGTCTCTGAATTTTCACTATGTCAAATCAATTTGGTTTATAATCAGATGCTGATGGTCACATGGTCCACCCACATGAACGGCTATAATTTCTCCAAATTATAATTGCAAACAAAAGCTAAGCATAAGAGTCTATGGATGCTAATATTGTTAGCTGACATAAATTTGGATTCTACACATCTCTTGCTTTCTCATTTCTCTTTTTGCCCCGTTTGAAAACTGCTTTTGAAGTTACAGCTACATTAATTTGACCTTTAATTTATGATAATCCCAACCAAGATGCACAAGCCACAAATTACTCCTCTATAAGTGGCAAATCACTTTTACTAAAGTAGTGTGAAATTGCAAATAATCTTGGCAAGTTCTTCTACTAGGTATGACATTATCCAAGCCAGTTGTTCTATGACTTCGTCACAATTAGCTCACTTCAAGTTTGACTTATATGCTGATAAACAACAGTGACATAAGACATGAGTTGAGTTGGGTTGGGCTGGAACATTATGACCACCGTTCTTTACAACAAACATGGAATCAGTTAAAGTGAAAATTTAGAAAAAGATGATTGTACAATCAAATACCAGTAATAAGTAATGACCCTTTTGCTCCTTCACATAAAAGTCATAGTCAAATAACAACCCAACCACATCACACCTTGATTGAAAACAAAAATATCCCAACTACAAAGATGTTGGGAAGAAAAAATAGAAGAGAATAGGAACAAAAGAATAACACAATTTATATATACAAGATCTATTAGGGAAGAATATTGAATACAATGTCTCTTTGTTCTCCCTTTTGCAAATAAGCCACTTGCAGTTTGAATTTTTACATAATTCAAGACACCACAACAATATATTTGAATAGTATCTTGTCCAGATAATATTGTTGGTCAATTATCAAGCAGGGTATGAGGTAGTAACACATTGCAGGATATTTTATATTTAGAGATTTATATCTTGCTAAGAATAAAGGAGAAAAAATGGAAAAGAAAAGAAAAAGAAGAGAATAGAAGAAGAAGAAGAAGTCATATTCAACAAGAAAAAGAGAAGAATAGAAAAGGGAAAGGTAAAATGTACACATCAGCGCCATCATTACAATCATCACTGACCAGCCCACACACCGGACCTATATTCCAAACAATTCTTCCTTTACTTTGTTTTCAACCTTGTTCCTCACCTTTTCCCTCCTTTTTCTCCTTCTCTTGCTTCATGTTTGCTTTCTGAAATCCTTTCCTTTGTCTCTCAGGACCGCATATAGTCTATCACTACCAATATATAAACTTTTAGTTGCATGGTTAGCCCACAAAAAACCTTCCCTTTTTTCTCTTGATCATTCACCATCTCATAGTTTATGATATCTTCCATTCTCTTTCATTGATTTAAAGGAAGAACTACTATTACTGGGTAACCACATACATTGAAGAAGTAAGAAAGGAGAAGATAGTTCCAAAGAAGAAGAAGAAGAAGATTAAAGATGGAAAGGAGAGTAAATTACTATGTAATATTTCTCCTACTGGGTCAATTCCTCTGTTCAGGTAATTCCTTTCTCTAGTTTATTTGTGGTTCTTCTATCTTTCCCCTCCTTTTTTTTTTGTGCGGTTTAGCTCCTTCACTTCTTTTCTGATATGGGTAGCTCAGTTGCTTCTGGTTGAAGATATTGTATCTTAATTCTCACTATCTTTGTTTACCATTTTTTCTTCTGTTTTCTGTTGCTTCCCTTTGTATTCTTTATCTTTTGCATGTATTCTTTTCTCTTTAACTAGTATTCTTTTGGACCCCTTGAATATGTTTTGAATTCTGAAACAACGAAATGCTTTTCCTTCTCTTAAGTTTGGCATTTCAGTAGCTTTATTCTCTTTTAATTCTTTAGTCCAACTAGAATGGACATACATGTTGGATTGAATGGGTGCAATCCACTTTTTTCAATTTCATTTGTCCATATTGGGTTCTTTCTGTTGGAATATAGTTTACCTTTTCTGTCCACAATTTTATTTTTATTCTTTTATGGATAATAATTCTCCTAGCTCAAAATCTTGTCTCTTCTATTGTTCGGTGAAATATTTCACTTGCCTTACCTGGCTATTTAACCAGTTCATTCAAGCAATTGTAGAGTCATAGTGCCATACCATAGAGAATTTTGAACAAGTCCTTTTCTTGCTCATGTTTCTGGGGTTTCACATAGAGCAGTTGGATCCAACCTTTCTCCAGTTCCACCGTTTCTTGAAAAGATAAAAGGGCCCAAGTGCTTTGACTCATATATGGGATCTCAATATATAGGATACCCTACCTGTCTGTTGTTGTCCATCTAGATGCACTATTTCAAGCTGTTGGCTTTTGAAACAATGGGAAGGTCTAAGGGCCTAATATAATAATAGTTAATTTGAATAAAAATTTCTAAACTTTTCTAATGAATAGCAAAACAGTTTTCAGTTTCATGCCACATTGAATGTTATAAGCACAAATTTGAATCCAGCTATCTCTTTTTTGGGTCCCCCCCTTAAAAAGGGTTAAATTTGATTTCTCTCTTCACATGCTTTAGACAGAGAACAGAACAAAAGTAATTAAGTTGTCCTTTCAAAAACAGGTTCTAGTAGGACAGAAAAGGAAGCACTTGGACATGTGAATGTACTAGGGCATGAAGGGAAACAAGAATTCACTACACCAATTTCTACAACCAAAAAGGATATTACCACTCCCATCACTACAATTCCCAACTTAGTTCCCCCCACTCCCACCATTTCAACACCTCCATTCCTGAATCCTAATTCCAATCCAGACACAGTCTCTCCAGCTTCCACATTCCCAGTAACCACTCCAACCACAGTGAATTCCCCAATGTCTTCAGGTGCAAGCTGGTGTATTGCAAGCCCAACTGCCTCACAGACTTCTTTACAAGTTGCATTGGACTATGCCTGTGGCTATGGTGGTGCTGATTGTTCAGCAGTTCAACCTGGTGGAAGCTGTTACAACCCAAATTCTATCCGTGATCATGCTTCTTATGCCTTCAATAAGTATTATCAAAAGAACCCTGTTCCAAATAGCTGCAATTTTGGGGGAACTGCTGTCATCACTAGCACTAACCCAAGTAAGGCTTTTCTTGTTATAATTCTTACTTCAACTTTTTTCAGTAATGTTGCATGCAATTTGAAGCAAATCCAAAAGTATGGCCATGTTGTTGGGTAGATTGAGAATTAAAATAGAAATTATTGGTTGAAGTTTTGCATATGATTTTGATGGCTTTGTATCTTGGGGATATAGGAGCTACAATAGTGTCACCTGAGTGATATAAAGAAGGGTTTTATTAATTTCATGCAACATAAGAAAAGCTTTTTTATGTCACAGAGTTAGTCATGTGTGGGACCCACTCACTTATGAAAAAAAAAAAATAACACGAAAATCAATGTATGTGTAGGAGAAAAAATACTCTCCTACAACATAATAGTATATTTTTCAAGTAAAAAAATACTTTTTTCTTTTTCTACTTAGCTGGAAGCCGCATCTCAAAAGTCTCCTTTATCTTATTAGCACAGATATGTAGAAGTTTTTCTGTTCATCACAAATTTTTCATAAATTTTGCATAAATAACTGAGATGAATATATATTTAGATATTCCCTCTTGAATTCAAAATGTAGTAACAGCAATATTCTGTACGAAATTGTTGAATTAGATTGTTTCAGGATGTTTGGTAGATGGATTTTTTTAGGATTGCTAGAATGTGGAAGTGGGTATGGAATTATACCATGTTTGGTAGAAGTTTAAGAAAAATAATACCAGGTAACCATTTTCCCCATTAATCGTGAAATCTGTGTAAAAACATGTCAAAATCACTATTTGGAAATGCCACTTTAGAGAGGTGGTATATGCAGATGCCCATCTAAATGAAAAAATTGGCACTATTAGTGAGACGGAAATGCCCCTCACTTTTGTGTAATTGAATCGACAGTGTATCTTTCAAAGACCAATTGAATCATTTAATTTTTAACGCATTCTAAATATTTATATATGAATATTCATGCTGATATATTTTCCCTCTAATAATCCCGTAATTTAATAATTTAATCATAGAAGATAACGAAAGAATAGGCTTTGACAACATGTGGTATTTTTAAGTTGCTTAGGCTAACAAGAGAAAGAGGACACATGTGAATGCCAAAATTACCATCTTCTATTAGACAATAGTGTCTGCTACAAGGGTTATTTTGTAATTTGAAGTTATTTTTCTATCTATATTTTATCTCAAACCAAACATAGACTTTATAATTCTTACCTAATTTGCTCTGTAAATTTTTTCTAACCAAACAACTTTTTTTACATTTTTCTACTAAACTCATTTTCCAACCATTTCCCTATCAATTACATTTCCCTAGTATTCAAAAAAAAAATTCTCAACCAAACGCCCCCTAAGGGCTTATCTAGTCTCATATTACAGGAGAGAAGAAATCTACACATAATGATGGAACCCACTTCCTAAAAAAAAAAATGTCATACGGTTATCGAAGAATGTGTAGGAAGAAAACTTATCACATGAGAATAGCTTTTCCCATTGTTTAAATAGTATTACTCTAGTTATTGTTATTTTTTATTGGGATCATCTACTTATGTTATTTTATTTATGGTTGTTGAGAACCTTTGATGAATGTATATATGTGTTTTGCAGGTACTGGGACATGTCAATATCCATCCACAAGGTGACCTTCATGACCCCATATAAGCTTTTCATTTGTGTTAATAGAAAAATCTCATATCAATTTGGTGTCAAAAATTGCAGTACTAGTTCATCGGTCTTGAACACAACAAACTCAATTGGTGCCAACGTTTTTGGCTCAGTGCCCGTGCCCACGAACCCATCTCCCTCTGCTGCAGCTGACACATCAAATAGCTTTGCAGATATTTGTGTAATTCTATGGCTAATATCAATTTTGGAAAATAATTATCTCTAAAATGGATGCGAGTAATATATTGCTGCTACCACCAAAAAGTTTTTGCCCCTTTTTACGGGTTTTTTTGGGAGACTGAAAAGCATATATAGCTACAAGACCATCAACAGGACATACATGGTAGAAACACTTTGTAGAAAGAAAAGGCAATCTAAGATGATAGACATTTGTAGAGATTTATACCGTACATACTTTTTTTGCCCTTTGTGTTTCGTTTTTTTTTTCTTCTGTATGATTAGAACTTAGAAAAAAATCATATATATTTGAAGTTTCCTTTATCTCTCTAATTATATAAATTAGGATCAAATTTATTGTCTGAAACTCTAAAGTCAAGTTTATTCTTAACAAATGGATGGAATTGATATGCAGAATCTTATTAGTCTAAATGACAAATTCATAACTAATGTGATAGTAATACGAAGAAGAAAACTAAGAAGAAAGAATCTAACATTTCACAGGTCCCCGCTCCTTCTGTGCCATGTTGCTTTGTATTCATAATAATAATTGAAATTGATTTTAATGGATCACTCTCATAAATTCACACACATTCAACAGCATGAATAGCAGGAAGAGGATAAGCATGAGTCTCATTTCATCCTCCCACCACTCATTACCTTTTTGAGGCACTACACAAACAACAACCTTCTTTATTTGCACTACTTCCAAGAAGCACACAGGCCATGTCATTCACATTAAACCTTTGAGTGCTGCACGGAGTTATTTTTTTTTTTGAGTAAATACTCTTTTTGATCCCTAACAAAAAAATACGGTTTTCACTTTAGTTCCTTACAAAAATAAATTAGTCAGTTAGTCCCTAATAAATTCAAAGTGGACCCATTTAGTTGAAATCATGGTCCTTCACAAATTCAAAAAAGATTCATATTAGTCCCTCAAAAGGACTAAAATGGGTCCACTTTGAATTTGTTAGGAACTAACTGACTAATTTATTTTTGTAAGGGACTAAAGTGGGGATCGTGTTTTTTGTTAGGGACCAAAAATGATGTTTATTCTTATTTTTAATTGTGAGAATTTTATGAGATTTCTCAAATCTATTATCATTTCTCTCTATAGTTCATATATTTAATAAGATAAAAGTATTAGTTAATGTTAAAAACCAATTTCTCTCTATAGTGCAATTGCGCAATCCAATAGGGTTAAAGGTTTGGAGTTTGTTGAATGGTTTAAAAATGGAATGGGCCTAAAAACTGGACCTATTACTTTTAGCTGAACTCATTCATGAATTCATGATTGTGCAATTTTTGTGCTCATGACGTTATGCATCTTTGATAATCAAATAAACAATATATACTTGTTAAATGTGAGAGTTAGGATTATTTTATTTTATTTATGATAAAGTTAAAAAAAAATTAAAATTTCTAATTAAAATAATAAAATTATATAATTAAACAAAAGCTTTACAAGATAAATATTATATTATATAAACCATAATACAATACAATATAATATAAATATAAATACTCAAATCAATTGGATTGGCTACAAAATATATAAATTATTTATTATATATTAATATTGATATTTAGATAAACATCAAATATAAATATATATTGATCGTGCAATACTTGATGTCTATCCAAATGTAAGGGTGCTAAATGAACCAATGGCCTTTAGCTCGACTCGTGAAAGCCTAAGTTTATATGTCTAAAATTTGTTATTGGAACCAAGCTTGAACTTGTATAAAAGCTCGTTTAATAAAAAGGCTTCAGTCTCCAATTCAAAAGTCCGGCCTTAGAGCCTAGAGGCTCTTAGGCTTGCCTAGTATACTGACTTTTATTTTTAATTTATATTTTTTGTATTATTCATAATAGCCATTTCTCTCTCTCTCTCTCTTCTCAACCCATTTCACCTAATTTTATTGGTTAAATAGACTTTTTGAATGATTTTGTTCTATATTATGTTGTTTGAATATACATTGAATTTATGAATCTTTGTGTAATTATTAGTGTTGTGGATCGTATATTCTGTTTGGATAAATTTTTGTTGTCTTATTTTTTTAAAATAGGATAAACCGGACTTTTATTTTTTGTAAATAAGTCAAGCCACATACCGATAATTATATTCATAACAGGTAACAGGCTGACACATTTAAATACAGACTTAACCTTTTAAGATCAAAGTTCAACTCGGCTCGGTCCGTTAACATCCCTATTTGATTGACAAGAAAATAAAATAAATTTTTAAATTTACTTTATATCTAATTTTTTAAATCTTAACTATATTCTTCTTATCTTATTTATTTAAAGTATATATTGATATTTAGGTGGCCATCAAAATTATTTAAGATTGGCTAGAAAATAAAACTAATATTTTTTTGTTTACATATATTTTTCATTCAATTTTGATACTGTAATTCAACTACTCTTATCTTATTTATTTAATTATCATATATTGATATTTTGATAGAAATCAAATATATTTGAGATTGATTAGAAATTAAACAAAATTAACTTTATTATGATTAAATCTACATTTTATGAGTTTACTTTTTCTATATTTTTCCAATATATATTATACTTAAAGCTTTCAAACTAATTCAATATTTCCTTATAATAAAATTAGGAAAAAAGTTAAAAAAAAAAAGAATTAGGAAAAAATATAGTGAACACTCTTTATGATAACATAATGGGAGGTATCAAGCTTGTATAACTGCTCAAATATTATAAGGACAATATTAATAGTTGATTACTTGATTTTGATAAAAATAAAGGAAGAGTAATTTTCCTAACCCCGTGACTGTTCGTTAGGAGTGTTCGTGGTCTGGATTGGATCGGTTTTAAAAGCAAAAATCATCTGATCCAATTCCTTCGGTTTGATCATATAATCATCCATTCGGTTTTGATTTTTTTTCAAATCCGATCCGATCCAATCCAATTTTTTTCGGTTTGGATTGGATCGATTTTCGAATTTTTGAAAATCCTAAAATTTATTTCATTATTATTGTGCAAATAACATCTTTTGTATATATTGTCTTTGTAATTTTTTTTTTTGAAATACAAAAACATTAGTAAACTATAATATAATTTTTTTAATTTTGGCAATGAGATATGAAGCTCTACAAAGATAAAATTTTGTTAATGAGATATGACTAGATTTTTTCTTGGGTTTAGTTGGTGGGTTAATGAGTCTTGGGTTTAGAAATTTTTAGACTATGATTAGGGAAATACCCAAGTAGGTAGAGGGAAATTAATATATCGGATCGGTTTGGATTGGATCGGTTCATCAACTCATTCAAAAACCGATCCAATTCAATTAAAATTTGCGGTTTTTAATCGGTTTTTGATTTTTTGGTTTTCGATTTATTCGGTTATCGGTTTTTCTGTTCAGTCACCGCGGTTTGAATCGGTTTGGATCGGTTGATGAACACCCCTACTGTCCGTGTTGAAGTCATATCATCCTTGGCATATATAAGTATGTGCTTTAATAAATTAGAGATTGTTTTTATGTATATGCAATATTATATATATATATATATATATATATATATATATATATATATATATATATATATATATACAGAGGTAGGATCCTTTGATACCGGTGTCAAATTTTAATTTTGACACCTCATCTCAGAGCCGTTAGATAAAAAAAGATCAATGGTGTCACATGCTTGCAAATCAGAGTCATTAATTTTTTTTTGATCTAACGGTTCTGAGATGAGGTGTCAAAATTAAAATTTGACACCGGTGTCAAAAAATCCTACCTCATTATATATATATATATATATATATATATATATATATATATATATATATATATAGAGAGAATTTAGAGATTTTTATTTTTTAAAAAATAATTTGATATAATAAATTTAGAAAAATTAACTATATTTAAAAATAAAAAATATTTTTATGAAAATTTCAATTTTTATCTTGTTTCACATTTTACAATAAATTATTAGTATAAATTAATATAATAAAATATCATATATATTGTGATACTAAACACTAGAAGCAATTAAATTTGGAGAATGTTATATTTACATTTTCTTTTGTTTACAAATTATATTATATATTTCGAAAAATACATTCATTTAGAAATACATTTCTCAAAATACATAATATAATTTATAAGAGTTTATAAATAAAAAATTTATAAATATAAATATACTTTCCGAATTACATATTGTAATTTATAAAAAAAATTATAAATATAATTCTCTTCGTTGAATTTTATCATATTTATATATTATTAAATGTTGTATTACTAAATCGTATGTTACCAAACCTTGTCATATCACAGAAAACGGGTAACTGAAATTAATGCATTGCCCGCGTAAAGCTTAAAAAAGATGCAAAAGATTCAGAGCAGACTAGCAGAAAAACCTGTGTAAGTGGGGTTGGGGGTACAGTAACAGCGAGTGACTTTAAGTAACTATAACTTAGCAACTTTAGTTATCAGAAGTAGTCACGTGGAGGCAAATAAGATACCGTAATTTCGATATTTGTTGATTTAATATAAAATAATTTATTTACTTTTCAATATTTATTTTTATAATAGAATAAGATAATTTTTATGGTTGAGATTTTTGTGCAGTTGATTAAAAACTGTACATTATTCAAGTCCAACGGACTGAAGTAGAAGGACAATGGCTTCCTTAATTCTTCACTTATTTGTCATGATGATATATCTAAAAAAATAATAAATAATACGATACACGGGAAACAAATTGATATATTGTATTTTAAATAAAAATTTATGAATTTATGACTGTTTTGAAAATAATTACACAATATCACACTCAATTTGGGCATCACCAATCACACCTAATTTAGACGTCACTAAAGAGACAGTCACGCCTAATTTAGGCGTCACTCATCAAGTGTTGATCACATTTTTTTTCAGAAAAAAAATTAACAATTTAATCGTAAAACTTCTAAATGCCATAATTTTTAACTTGGGTATCCGAATTAGTTAATTTTTTTTTATTCCACATAACTTTTCGAGATTTACATAATGACACCTCATTTAACATATTTTATCTTTCACAAACATAATTTGAATTTGCAAC